CACACACACGTGCATGCGCTCGGTTTCTATATCTTCTTATACACCGTACAGAGTAACTTACTGCCTGAAAGGTAAGATATTTTGAGGGACCAGATGTAGAAAGACCGAGATATTCGATCAAAATCTTACCCCCAACTCCAACCCCCCACCCCCACTCGGGATTCAAACTCGGACCCCCTGCTTACGACACTGAAGTTGAGTGAAGTGCATAACCACAACAGCCTAGATGCCGGTGCCCGTGGACTCAAATAACTCTCTTAATGGTACTATATTATTTACATAGCCTCGTGCCCATGGACATGGGCAGCGTTTTATTAGCTCAGCTGATGGACTAGGGAGCGGAAGACCATGATTACTGAATTGGGACTGTTTTATTGAGTTTTTAAAACTCTTCGCACACTTAGCTTGATTATCCTTTTAAAACTGCCGTTTATCAACATGTTTCCGTAAAATTCACACAGAAATGTGCTGTTAAATTGACTTAGAAAATGTTTACCTGATATGGACGTCAAAATTTGAAGTCCTGCCTCTTTTTTTTTGGGGAGTTTTCAAGGCTCTCCACCTACCTGGCCCCGTCCCATTGAGGATAGATATTGGGGGGGGGCGTATCTCTAAAATAACCTTACAGTGCTGAAAGAGGCGTAAAAGCTATATATATTTTTAATAACAAATACCAAACATCAACAACCGATCAGTTATAACATTAACAGCCAACTCACTTTTATTTGGTGAGGGTCTGTACGTTATGATTTCTGGCTTTCTCTGCGGATGGTTCCCGGTTCCATTCTCCACTTTTCCGACATTTCCCACAGCCTGTGATTTTGTCGACAACAAAGAAATGTTCAGCAAAGACATGTTGAATTCATTATCATTATCTCCTACTCTAGAAACGTCTTCCTCCTCAATCTCACCGTCCTGTCGTCTCCTGTCTCCATACCGCCCAAGTCTCTCTCTTTCGAACGAAGCGTTTTCATAATTCCCGCTCACTGCAGATGCCGAAATCTCAGAATCCTCTTTCGTCGAACCAACTCTCTCTCCACCATCAGGCGAAAGAACACCGTAAGCGGAAGCCTTGGACGGGTGGCTCTGATAGTTCGCGTTAGTTTTACCGTCGTTTGTGACGTCATACCCAGCTCCATCCAGCTTCCTTCCGGTGTTGTTGTCCCCGACTCCGTCTGCTGGTGTAGGCGTCAGCTGGTCGGCAGGGTGGAGGAGGAGCCCGCTGTCCAGGGTTCGAACCGCCTCGTCAGCCTCTGCGCCACTCAGCACGGTGTAGTTGCAGCTTTTGGCTGTCACGTGACATGACCAGCCTGGGAGAGAAGAGGACTTCCAGGTTAGTTTTAGTTTTAGTAGAGGTTTTACGGTGCTCGCAACTGCATTATAAGGTCATACCGTCAAATCAGCGCCAGAAGATTAGAGGTGATACGAGGGAGTAACAAACATAAAAAAGAAGAAGGGGAGATAAGGACGGTAGATGTTAGATAGGGAGGAAGAAGCAAACCACACCAGAGCACCCGCCAACCACCCACACTTCCAGGTTAGTTAATTCTAATACACGTTTGACAGCACTTGTAACACGATTAGGTTACAGGAGTAGCGAAGATTAGGGGGTGCTTTTAGAGAGTAACATGCAGAGCAAAAAAGGAGGAGAGATAGACATGATACAAATATAAATGTTTGATTGGAAAGAAGGAATTTAAAAAAGCAGCAAAACCACACCAGAGCACCCTGTAACCACGTCTGCAGAGTAGCATACAGAGAAAAGAAAGAGGAGAGATAAGGACTATAGATGTTTGATAGGAAAAAGAAGGAGCAAACTACATAAGAGTACCCACCAACAACTTCTACAGAGTAACATAATGAAGAGAAAAGCAAAAGCAGAGATAAGGACGATAAATGTTTGTCGTAAACCCCACCAGAGCACCCGCCAACCACCCACGAAAAGAATTTGAAATTGTACAAGACAACGTAGTGTAAGCTACAATGAGATGGCAGGGGTGCGGCATACTAAAGTTGGGGCATCCTGGCGAAATCAGACGCTCGTTTAAAAATAATAAAATCGTAGTATAGAAACCGTTGTTTTTCCGTTCATTTGGCAATTTTAATTGAACTTTATAACTAATTTTTTTAGATCAGTATTTTTAATGTTTGAAATGTTGGATGACCACCTTCTAAGAAGTAGTAGTATAGGGTTTTACGGCGCTCGCAACTCCGTACGGTCATATGAGCGCGCGAAACACAAGTTACATTCGCAAAAGTTCACTGCACGATTGGTTAACTATTACCTTCTAAGAAAAATCTAAATTGTGTCGATGAGGGTGTAAAAGCGCAGATATAGAAATTCATTCATACCAACTGCTGTGAGGTTACTGAACCCACAGTGTTACAAATGAAACAGAGAGCGAGAGAGAGAGAGA